CCCGTCTCTACTAAAAATACAAAAATTAGCTGGATGTGGTGGCGTGTGCCTATTGTCCCAGCTACTTGGGAGGTTGAGGTGGGAGAATTGCTTGAACCTGGGAAACAGAGGTTGCAGTGAGCCGAGATCACGCCACTGCACTCCATCCTGGGTGACAGAGCAAGACCCAATACCAAAAAAAAAAAATCAAATGGGGCTAGGTGTGGTGGCTCATGGCCGTAATCCCAGCACTTTGGTAGGCTGAGGTAGATGGATCACTTGAGGACAGGAGTTTGAAACCAGCCTGGGCAACATGGAGAAACCCCATCTCTTGAGAAAAAAACCAAAAGAAATAAAAATAAAATAAATCAAATGGGATAGATATTACAGTCCTTGCTTTTGGACCATTCCCCAGTTCGACATATTAGTTCATTGATGAGAGGACTAGGGAGGAATTGGGTTTTTACCAGAGGAAGACCTGGAGCTGACCCGACAGATTTAAAGCAGCTTTATGGGATAATCCGCTTGAGAAGGATGACAATGTAGGCAAGTGATTCCGTGCTGTTTCATTCCTCTACCTGCCTATCCCCAGGACCATGGCCAACTGTGAGCGTACCTTCATTGCGATCAAACCAGATGGGGTCCAGCGGGGTCTTGTGGGAGAGATTATCAAGCGTTTTGAGCAGAAGGGATTCCGCCTTGTTGGTCTGAAATTCATGCAAGTAAGTGGATTTCATTGTTCCCATTTTGATTCCTTTGTAGTATAGGAGAACACTGTGATGAACGTGCTTTTCGCCACCTTTCTTACTGAAACTTCTCCATGGTAGAGTGAACACAAATGTCTTGAGACTGAAAACTCCTTAGTGCCCTAGTGCTGGGCTACATCTTTGGAACAAAGCAAGTTATTTAGGATTTTCTGAAATAGTCTCTGTAATATGAGGTGCATTGCTAAGGGAAAAGCAGTGCAGAGTTCCACATATGACTGTACCTCTGTAATTTCTGATTCAGAGCTGAGCATGTTTTTCTTGGTCTTGAGCTTCCTGAGCAGGTAATTTTAGAGAGATTTTTTTCCCCCTTTGAGACTTACCATCATCTTACCGTCATCAGTTACTAGACACTAATGAATGCTTAGTGTCTAGCATATATTAGGTATCATAGGAGCTTGTGGAGGAAAACTATGGTTTTGCTTTTGGGGAGGTTCTTCTGAAATAGGATAAAGCAGATGCACCTGCAAGCTACTAACAAAGCAGTCTTTTGATAAATGTAAAGGATAGATTGACCAAGAACCCTTCTTCAAACAAATTCCAGAGATTATAATTCAAATTCTTGGGTGGACGAGGTGCAGTGACTCACGCCTCTAATCCCAGAACTTTGGGAAGCCAGGGCGGGCTGATCACTTGAGGTCAGGAGTTGCAGACCAGCCTGGCTAATATGGCAAAACCCTATCTCTACTAAAAATACAAAAATTAGGTGTCAGGGCAAGTGCCTGTAATCCCAGCTACTTGGGAGGCTGGCTGAGACGTGATAATTGTTTGAACCCAGGAAGGGGAGGCTGCAGTGAACTGAGATTGTACCACACTGCAGCCTGACAACAGAGGGAGACTGACTCCAAAAAAAAAAAAAAAAAAAAGAATTCCAGTTCTTAAAATCAAATAGGCAACAGTATGTTTTCCTCAAAGGGAATCAATTTTGGACCCTTCTAGTGCATTTTAAAATTTAGTTTGACTTGCAATTTACTTCCTATGTGATGTTTTAGGAAAACTGCTTTAGGGCCGGCTCAGTGATTCAGGCCTGTAATCCCAGCAGTTTGGGAGCCTCCGTCTTAGAAAAAGAAAAAAAAAACAAAAAAAAACAGCTTTAATGTAAAAGAGGGTAGACTGATGTTCATGCTGAGAGGAGAATGTGGTGTCCAAGGTTAAGGAGCTGGCATCTAATGAAGGTTTTCTTGCTGCATCACCCCATGGCAGAATGGAAGGGCAAGAGAGTGCAAGAGTGAGAGAGAGCTAGAGGGAGAGCAAGATGGGGGCTGACCCTGATTTGATAACAAACCCGCTCCTGAGATAAGACATTATTCATGAGGGTGAAGCCCTCATGGCCTAAATACCTGACAGTAGGCCCCACCTCCCAACATTGTTACATTGGGAATTAAATTTTCAACATGTGAACTTCGGGGGACACATTCAAAGCACAGCAGAAGGTAAAATGAAATGAATGTGTTGTTGATCAGGCATTCACCATCTGCTGGCACATGTGTTTTCTGATTTAGTCTTCATGCCAGCCTTGAGAAGTCCTTATTCCTGTTCTCATGGTTGTTAGTGGTGAGCAGCCTAAGGCTTGGAGAGCTTCAGTGATGTGCCTGATAGCGTACAGTCAGTGAAGCTACTGGGATCTTAACTTGAGGCTCTCTGACCTTTGAGTGCAGACATTTTCTCCTTTACATTGAATTTCCTATCAAGGATATGTGGGTCTGGTGAAGAATGGACAGAAGGATAGCTTCCATGACTCAAAAGAGGCATTTAAATCTGGTGTGGAGGTAGGAAGCAAGGGAGAACTTGAGCTTCCCAACCCATGAGCCCTTAAAAAAGCCTGTAATCTGTTTTACAGACTAAAGATAATTAGTTAGGGCCTGTGTGGTGGCTCACACCTGTAATCCCAGCATTTTGGGAGGCCAAGGCGGGCAGATCATTTGAGGTCAGGAGTTCAAGACCAGCCTGGCCAACATGGTGAAACCCCATCTCTACTAAAAATGCAGAGTTTAGCCAGGTGTGGTGGCACATGCCTGTAGTCCCAGGTACCACGGATGCTGAGGCAGGAGGATGGCTTGAACTCTGGAGGTGGAGGTTGACGTGAGCGGGTATCAAGTCACTGCCCTCCAGGCTGGGCAGAAGAGCAAGACCCTGTCTCAAAAATAGATAATCAGTTATTGGTGTAGTAGTGCACACCTGTAGTCCTAGTTACTGAGAGTCTGAGATGAGAGGATTGCTTGAGCCTGGGAGTTTGAGGCTGCAGTGAGCTATGATCATGCCACTGCGCTCCAGCCTGGTGACAGAGAGACCCTGTCCCAAAACAAACAGCAACAATGAAAAGGTAATTGGAACCAGTTAATAGATTTAAAAGAGGACTCTGGTAAGGGAAAGTGACCTCAGTGTCGGTTAGGAGACTTCCACTGCAAAAGTCTTCCATTTGGATAGGAAAGGACACGGCGAGGATTGGATCCCTACCGTGGAATGATTATATGGCCATGTTGTTTTACTTTGGCAAGTGATGATCAACTGGGGACTGAATGATGGGGCTTCCCAGCAGCCAGTCTCCGCATTTGTGTGTGTCTCTAATGTGTGCGATATGCGTTATACAGTGCGATACCACAGAGCTGGAAAAACCAAGGGACCCTGTTAAACTTGAACAAGCATATATGCAGTACAAGAGAGAACACAGCCAGGTTGAGTGGAAACTACAGATGGTTTGATCTCTAGCTAACGTGATTTGTTCCCGCATATTAGCCTTGGAGTGTGAGAGGTTCTAGTTCATTTTTCAGCAAAATTATTTATTACTAGATGTCATGCACTTTTGCGTGATTTGTAGGTACCTTTGGGAATCACATGGTCATCACGCTGGGCTTTTATCCTCTGAATAAACGTGAAGTATCCCTGGGTAATGGCCTGGTTTAGTTTGCTGCTCATCAAATGCCAAGACTTTCTTCCTGGTGTCCTAACATTTTATTTGGGGTTTGCTCTGGGAATGGAATTTATCGTATTGTTAATTTTCCCATCTAAAATGAGATGCTTGAGGGCCAGGCATGGTGGCTCACACCTGTAAGCCCAGTGCTTTGGGAGGCCGAGGCTGGAGGATCACTTGAGTCCAAGAGTTTGAGACCAGCCTAGGCAACATAGTGAGACCCTATCTCTACAAATAATTTTTTAAAATTAGCCAGGTATGGCCAGGCATGGTGGCTTATGCCTGTAATCCCAGCACTTTGGGAGGCTGAGGCAGGCAGATCACCTGAGGTCAGGAGTTTGAGACCAGCCTGGCCAACATGATGAAACCCCAGATCAACTGAAAATACAAAAATTGTTTGGGCATGGTGGTGGGTGCCTGTAATCCCAGCTACTCAGGAGGCTGAGGCAGGAGAATTGCTTGAACCTGGGAAGCGAAGGTTGCAGTGAGCAGAGATTGCACCACTGCACTCCGGCCTGGGCAACAGAGGGAGACTCCGTCTCAACAACAAAAAAAAAGAAAATTAGCCAGGTCTGGTGGTGTGTTCCTACCTACTCAGGAGTCTGAGGATGACTTGAGCCCAGAAATTTGAGGTTTTTTT